ACCACTTCTAGAAAACAAGACCATTTAGACAATTGAAGAATTCCACCGTCAGGTGATATGCAGTAGCAACACAGGTAATACTGGATATTACTTGGTGATACATTTGACAGGAAATAAGGAAACCATTTTATTGGCTTCTTCCTCTGCTGGCAATTAAACTTAAACTATTAAACTATTAAAGTTAATCAAAGACGCATGTGTCTCAGCATAAAGAAACCACACTTACTATAGGAGACTCTAGTAAACAGAGACTTTGAAAGGTTAACTATCATACCTAAGACCAAAATGCCAGGGTGTTAATCAGCTTTCTGGCACTATAACAAAATACCTGAGATAATTAATTTATAAAGAGAAAATTTATTTTTACCTGTCTTTTGAGGCTCCAATCCACAATCAAGTGGACCCAGTGCCTTTGGCCTTTAATGGGGTATAGATTGCAATGGCAGACAGCACACAGCCGAGTAAACTGTTTACCTCACACCAGGAAGCAAAAGAAGAGGTACTCTTCCAGTGACCTAAGGATACCTTACTATGTCCTCCTCTTGAAGGTTCTGCCACTTCCCAATAATGCCTTCAACACATGGGCTATTAGGAAATATTCAACCGTTGCTGCTGATAGCAGCTGGTAAACAATCTAATGAGAACTTGAACTCAGGATATGTAAGCTTAGAGCCTATGGGCTTCTTCAATTTATCACCCCACTTTCCCAAATGACTATAATGACCAGTAGAAATTTGTCTTCTTCCAACCACTCTTGTTCAATGCAGGTTTTTGATCAATTAGTTATTCTTTCCAAAGAGAAAATGGAATTATTTGCCATTAATTGTTTTCAAAGAACTTAGCTTTCTATATGAATTTCTGATTCTTCTTCTCAGGGCTCACTTCTTCTTTTTCACTAGATCATAGACAGCATAGCAGTATGGGCTCAAGTTAAACAAGATCATAGAACTCTGTGAAGGTGACTTTAGCAAATATTTGCATCCCATTAAAAAGCACAATTGTTATAATGGTAATATATTTACACAGGAGACTTATCTTCCCCTTTGGAGACATTTGCCAAAATATTTAAAGAAGATAGTTCATGCCAATAAGTAACTTTTTTAAACCAGCAAAAATAATAAAGCAATGACAACATGCTAATTGAGAAGTCTTAGTAATGGAGCTACATGTCTTTTTATCTTTAAGTGTGTGAAAATTTTCATAATAAAGAGTAAAAAATATGTAGTCAAGTAAAGAAGTAAATAATGGCTATCAGAAAGTAAATACTAAGGAAGAATAATTTTTTAAATTCCATTCTATTCTCATTAAAGCAAAAACAGGAATTTACCAAATGAGCTAAAGTATTAACACTTTGCATCCATGGAAGATTTTAATTGGCAACCATCCTGTGAAGTAGGGATTATTAGCTACATTTTATGGAAGAGGAAACTGAGATTCAGAGAATGAAAATATTTGCTCCAGGTAGCTTGTAAAAATGCAGCACACTCCCTTTGCCTTGAGTAGAGCTGTATGGAAATGACTGAGTTGAAAGAACTCAGGACAGGTTAAAGAGATAGTGAAGGTACTGAGGGATGACAAACTGGGTGAACGGGAGCACGGAAATAATTGCATGTCTCAAAGAGACTAAATATTTCAGCAAAGTGATTAGAAAAGGTAAAGGGCTGGTCCATTGTATGGCTTTATTAATACATCTGGCATGCATGAGAGGTCTGGAGAATAATCCATGGAATTTCCATAATTGAGACTCAAATTGTCTTATTTGGGAAGAAGGTGCAAGTAGGGGTGGGGAGGATTTTTAAGCAGGAGTTTTTGCCTTATAATAAAGGGCATCATGCCACCAATCTCACTAAATCTAAGGCTGATCAAGAGAAAACATTTTTTCCAGTCTCTAAGATTATTCTAACAATGAAAAAGACACAATTGCCAGGGAGTTTTCTTTAGCATTTCCTAAATGAATGCACTAATTTTTAATAATTATATCCTTTGAGTACAAGCTACCAACCTGAGTTCAGCTATTTAATTTCAAAGCAGCATTCAGTTTTAAAAGGCTTGTAGCTTGTTGTAAAAAAAAAAAATCCTATCAAAGAAAATTTGGTCAATTGGGTGCTCTGCTGGAATTCTTATGAAGAAATTATCACAGCAAGCTAGTGGCCTTCAGGAGCCCAAGCAAATCATTTTCACAAAATTGAAATTAGTTTATTGCTTTTTCATATGATTTTTAAATGCAATTGGATACTTTTTAATGAAGGAAACAAAGTCTAAATAGCCCTACTAATCCAATGAAATATTGCGAAGAGGATAAAAGCAGGCCACTGTGGGCCATGTGTTGGATCCTTTCCAAACCTTGCTTTTATGTCTCCCTTCTGTTCTCATTAAGCAAGTCCCAAAGATCAAATGAACCTGGACCATGCTGAAGGCAAGGACACAAGTTGTTTATTTCATCTCTGCCATCCTTCTGCTCACCACCAGGCTGAATGCAGTTACACAGGTCACGGGAACAGTAATTCTATTTTCACAGATCTCCGTCAGGAGGCACGAGGGAGCAGCAGATGACTGTCCCTCACCTGGCCACCTCCAGTTAGACACTTGTTTGGAAATGAGTAAGAAAGCTCCTAGGGAGGGGAAATAATAATGGCACCAATATTCATACCCATGTGACTTCATGACCTTGCCCTTTAGTGAGCAGGACATGCCGCTTTACTCCTATTATACAGAACAGCAAGCCAAGGCTCAGAAGATCTAAGACAGGAATTTATTCCAAGTCATACTTGTTCAGAACATAGGTTTTGAACACAAATGTCTGGGTTTGAATGCTGACTTACTGTTTATAAGCTAAATCACCCTACATAAATTCATCACTTCTCCTTGACCCCATTTCCTTGTCTATAAAATGGAGCTCACAACAATATCCATCTCAAAGATTGTGGAGGGGGATCAAATTATACAATCATGTCAAGTAAAAGAACACTTTTGGCGCATAGGGCTCAATAACACCATTATTACAAGTGTAAAATGTTTTATGGTTCACAGGAAATATATACAATTCTACCATATTTATTAATCACCAGACTTGGCCACTGTGCTAAATTCTGAGTTTGCTAGGAATATATCAGTTAGAATCTCAGCCATTCTTCATGTCACAGAGGAATATAAAGGAAAATCAGGGATAAACTGACATATTGAGTATAAAAATGCTATTTAACCAACAAAGATAATTAGAAGGATAATTTATCTCAACCTGGGAGTAGTAAAGAGGGCTTCCTACAGGTAAAGACCTTTCTATAACCTTACTCTTGCTTTAAAAAGTTCTAGAAAAAAGGTGCTTTTTTGTCCACTCTGTAAATGAGTAAAACAAGGCTCAGAAAGACTTGCTAAGATCCCTCAACTAGAGAAAGACAAAATCAAATCTCATGTATGCCACCTTACATCAGGGATATATTTCCTGTGAATTAAATCATTGAGATAATAAATTTATTTTTTCTTTCCCCCACAATATCTTTATGTTAAAAAGGTAACAAAAACTGTAATTTTATTTTCCCTTTTTCTCCCTGAAAAATGTGGCAAAGTGCCAAATTCTCTAAAATCTGCCATCTGTTAAGAGTCACAGAAGACTAGGCTGAATCAACTGTATACTATTAACAATCTGGAAGGGCAGAAACATAGATGGTGTCAAACCCTCATTCAGCCACTTACCAGCTCTATGGCAATAAGCAAGCAATATAGAATCTTGGGGTTTTTTAATTTAGAAAATGGAGCAATAGTCTTCAATTCCTAGAATTGCTATGATGATTCCATTCCACATGTTATAATTGCTCAATAGACACTCACCAGTAATATTAGCTAGAAAAGCACCACTCGGTCCAACCCTTCACCTCTCTGGTCTGACCCCAAAGTCATCTGTGCATATTTTTTGGAAAGTCTTCCCCTGAAGGGGCTTACAGATGCCCTTGTGAAGCATCCTAGGCTTGTCCAGTCTTCCAATCTAGAAATTCAATAACTCTGTCATCATTGCTCCTCTTTCCTCTAAAATTTCAACATTCTGTTCTCAGAAAAGAAAATTGCTGTATGTTTTTTCTGGATAAATCAATGAACACCTCCACATTTTTCTCCCAAATTCTCTCACTCCAGAACTTCAGTTTTTGTCTGTATAAATTTCTCCATCTTTCTCCTAGTGATGAGATTACTGTAGTTGACACCAATGTCAGTATCTGGTAATAACATTGTGTATTTTGTGCTCTTTATTTTCAAAGCATATTCACATGCTTACCTTGTTGATCCTAAAACAACTGGGCAAGGCAGAGACGGCAGATATTATCCCACAGGAAGGATGAAGAAACTGCAAAATAAAGGAAGGAACAACAAAAGCCACCACTGCATGTCCCCAGCCTTCTTTGTATATGATCTGACTTCAATTTCTTAGGAGCTCACTCTAGTCATTGTTCTTAATTCAATTTGCAGGAAAGGAAAGTGAGATTCAGAGGAGATTGTGTGTTCATGTTCTTCCGGAGATTAAGTGGGGAACTGGGACTCAAATCTAGACCTGTTTTATTCCAAAGTCAACAAGCTCACCCATCAATTTACCAAAGATTTGCTCAACCCATTCACGACTAATGTGACATTAAAATCTGGGCCTCCTGAATCAGTCCACAGTGCCTTTCATTAAACCATTGATTCAACTCTTCTTAATTGTTGAAGGTGCTGAAGGAGCTATGCTGTGACTAAGAGAGTCACCACCCATATGCAATTGCTTTGCATCTTTTCCCTATTCCTAGTCTCCTATTCTTATCTTCCTGGTTCATGCCTACAATTTTGTGGTTCTTCAAACATAAGTTGGATGTGGAGAAAAGTAAAAGAGAAAATATACTGGGAGTTTCCTCTTTTTACCTGGGTGTCCAATCCATGTGTCCTAGGAACACTCTCACATCTGAGTTGCCTGGTGTGGAATGTGCTAAGGTTTCCATTTGAGCTGCTCCATTCTCTCATGTTTTCTATTTTAAAAGGAGATGATGGTGTAAAAGGAGATCCAGGAGAAGAGGGAAAGGATGGCAAAGTAGGACGCAGGGGACCAAAAGGTAGGTAAACCCATGTGAAATTGACATGATAACGTAGAAATATTCTTCTCTCGCTTCTGGCCCTTGCCCTGGAAATCAGTAGTTTCACAATGCCCTCTGCCCCAAAGACCCATTCAGTGTGCCTCAAACATAAATTAACCTCACCATCCGAGAGCTCCTCTGAGTTTATTGTCAATGAGCCACTGATACATTTCTCAAGTTTCATTATTAGGACTGGTCAGAATGGGGCCCTCTATAGGAAGAGCTACAAAATGGCCAGTTCTAAGAAATGTAGCTGTGCTTATAGCACTGTGTGTCCCCTCAGCAGCTGCAGCTGAGCAAAGTTCTATGGCTGGCTTAGGGCTTAAAGAGGAAGATTAAATGAAACAAAAAGAGAGGCTTGATCCATTACATTTACCTTTCCCAAAATATTTCTTTGGCTCCCCTTTACTTATGAAAATGAATAATGAAAAAGGGAAAATGGAGAGTTATGGGGGAGTGGGAGCACAGGAGATGAGAATAACACAAAAGCTATTACTGGTTGTTTTCACTGATAAAGCCAAAGAGTAAGCCTCACTATAGCATCACTTCTGTGTTGTGTTAAGTATGTATCTTCTGAACACTTGAATTATTCCCGGCCAACTATTGCCAAGATGATTGCTCTAGACCTCTTACTTTACAATCCTGAATAACTTACAGGGATGAAAAGATTCACTGGTCCTTAAGGCATTGAGAAATGCTATTTAAGCTTATCTTATTCTAGACATATGTCAATTGCAGAATTATTCTCAGTAAAATAAAGCTTTATAACTAGTAAATATTTTATATTATCTTATATTTAAAATGAAATAGATAGTAATTTTAGAAGAATTTAGTGATTCCTGATATAAGATTTGTTATTAAAAACTCAGCAAGACAATCTCTGATGTTTCTTTGATCAGCAGGTTTTATGATTACACCTCTCCTCTTCATTTTGAAATGGATAAGACTGTCAGATCTTGTTTTCACTTTATTTTTAAAAAATTTTTATTAGTGTAAATTAATTGTACAAGGGGGTTCATTGTGATATTTATAACATGCATACAATGTGCTTTGATCAAATTCACCCCACCTATATTACTCCTTCTTAACCACCCTCCCTCCTCCTTCTTCTTTCCAATAGTTTTGGTGAGTTTCACCATGCTATTTCATATATATGTATGTATATACACATGCACATGCACAGACACATATATATACAATATATACACATATACAATGTACTTTATAATATTTATCCTGTCATCCTTTCCATTCCCCTTTGTCCCACTTGCTGGTTCCTCCCACAGTCTCCCCTTTAGATTCATGTCACATTGTTACTTTTTTTAGGACTAGATTCTGTACATAAGTGAAAACAGGTATCACATCTTGTTTTTAAAGAGAAAAGAAACAGAATCCCAAAACAAATCCAAAATGAATCCAGAAATTAAGAGATTCAAAACAGAGAACAAAAATCCTTCCATTCAGCCCTTTATCTAAACTTTAACCATCCTCTGCAGTGGTCGTTCTAGCAATACTGAATTGATAAGCATTTTAATATAATCATGTCCAGGGTTATCATAATCACTCACATTTTAATTTTAATATATATAACTCTTAAAATAAAAAATATAGCTGAGGATATATTAGAATCACAGAAGCATATACCTTTTGCTATTTCCTGTGAGTAAATATCATATTACTCACATCTTTAAAGGAAATAAAGAGCCTTATGATATAAAGATGACTGCTTTGCTTTTCAGGAGTTAAAGGAGAACTGGGTGATATGGGAGCCCAGGGCAATATTGGCAAGTCTGGGCCCATTGGCAAGAAGGGTAAGCTGCATTTTACTATTTTCCAGTACCAAATTAAGCAGACTAGTAAAATATGTTTAAGGTTTTGTGACATGAAAATGATCCCTTTTCTTTATTTTAAAAGATAGGTTCACTGACTTCCTATCTTGGCTCTTACACAAGTAAAAATCTTACAGCTCAAAAAGAGGAAGGCTTGAGCAAAATTAAAGAAGATTTCAACCATAAAGTTTATGTCGTCTTTCATGTTAAAATGTCTCCTGGGATTTACTAGTTTGCTACCAATCCTTGATGTAATTAAAATAGTATCATGAATATTTATAAAATATTAAGTAGGCAGAGAAGAGTACAATTTTCTTTCTTAATCTGAGTAAAATAATTAATAATTCTGTCCCTCTGACATTGTAACAGGATAGGAACTTGATGTGCCTAAGTGCATACCCATTTCCTTTCAGATATGTTCTGATCTGGTACATAATTACAACCTTAATATTAGAAAATAGAGATAATCTACTCTTTATTATCTAAGTACTTCTTCTCTATCCTCTCCTTGTAAAATCCCACAATGGTAGTAAGTTCTGATTGCTTCTGCTATTCAGTAACTCATACGTGCAAACATTGTTCCACTTGGTTTGGGGATATGAAGCTGAATGAGAATCAAAATTTATTGCAAAGATTCACAGGCTATTCAGTAAGGTAGGATTTTCTCGAAAAGAATTATGATGACAAATAACATGACAACTACAAGGACTATATAGGAGATTACGGCAAGATTGACGTGAGGAAGAGCTGGTCTAGGTCTTCGGAAATGGTAGCAAGTTTACAGAAATCGGGAAAATGCATTTGAAGGAGATGTGGAAGATATTTGTACAAAAGTACAGATGTGGGAAGCTCAGTGCAAAGGATATCATAATTTAAAATTTTATTGATGAACACTCCTTCTTTTCATAAATGCTTGCGCCTCTGCATAATTGAACAAGTGCTTTGCAGTGGCCACTTGGGTTCTTATTCAGTCTAACAGACTGAAGTCTGAGCTGAGGTTGTGGCCTCTCTCCTCATCATGTGGCTTAATATTCCCTCTTACCCCCAGTGTTTTCTGACTCATTCCTTTGAGAAATTTCCTTCAGCCACATTTGAAGACAGGGATGGAGGGAAGTGTCTCTAAAAGCAATTTCTATGGTTGTTTTGATCCACTGGCTTCTATTATGCATTTGCCTGTGGTTGAAATCCTCATGGCTGAGAAGAGCTTTGTGAGTTAGTTCCTCATGATCCAAGTGTCCTGCTGCATCCTGTGACTGATCATTTTCACAAGGAAGCTAGGGAAGTTTTGGCTTCAGAGTTCTGTGTTGCATGGATCCTTCCCAAGACCCTGAAAGAAGACTTAGTAGTAGGTTCACATGGCCACATGTCTTGGTAAAATTTGAACAGTAAGACATTTTATCACCAACTAGTTCATATAGTACTTCTCCACATTTTTTAAAAAGACTGTCCAATAAACCTCATCAGACATATTTTTCTTAATTCTCTCCATGAAATTTTAACACTATCCATATATTCATGTATATGTTATGAATGTATTCGTGCTTTATACATTTAAAAATTATGATGTTCTTGATTGCTCAAGAACCAACATTTGCATTGTTGACATGATATTGCCCACTGAGAAAGCATGGGTGAAAACTACTCTCTCCTTCTGCTCCATCTTTCCTCCATTACACTCATTAAATCAGGTGGATTGAAATGGACACAAGTATTTTAAGAGGAAGCTGAGGCAAGCTTAAGTGGGAAAAACATTTACTTTGGACTTAAAAGATATATTTATGTAATTTGAAGTTACTTCCATACATAATTATTATCACTAACAAGTCCAATATAGGAATAGCCTTCAAGAGAATTCCTGCCACTCACTGTGTGGATCTGTCCAATGTTATGATGCAACAGTACTGGGCCAGAGGTCACATCATCAACTGAATGTGTCCTGGGGTGTCCATCACAAGAAGTGTATAGATTATGGGTAAGAAACTATGTTTGAACAGTCAGTCACAGAGTCAGTCTGTGGGGTTCTCCCAAATCCAACAACCTACATATGAATGAAAAAGACTTTAAAGAGGTCTATTCTCAAATTTGACAATAATCTTAATTCAACATAGCTCCAATTTGACAAAATTCTTAATTTACATAGCTCATCAGTAACAAGTTACAAAGGTGAAAGAAAATTCTGATGCTTAATGGAAACAAAATTCAGACTTCTATAGGTCATGATGATTAATCTTTCTGCTAAGTATGATTAGCTGAATCCAAAACACTAAAAATATATTTACTGGCATGTGAAGACTACCAAAATGAATAGGAGTTCCATTCTGCAGCAGACGGGAATTACACTAAAATAAGCTATGCACTGTGCACTCCTTCTCATTGTGTACTCCTTCTCTCCTAAGACATTCACCAATGTCTTCGTAGTGAGAGGGGAAGGGTGAAGAGAAAAGAGGCTTGAGTAGAAAGTTGTTCAAACTGAATTGATATTTGAGGCCTGCCAAAGGACAGTAGCTCAGGAAAATGTCCCATATTTTTAGTTGTAACTCCAGAAATTTGGAAAACTGTTTAATTAAACATATACCTATTCATGTTCTTAAAAACGCAGCAAACTAGAAATAGAAGAAAACATTAGTAATCATAAAAGGAATATCAACAACAATAGAAATCTACTTAAGAACCAGATAAGAAATGAGATTAGCACAGCCTCAGTCACAAATTCTAATCAACATTTGACATGTAGTTCTAGACAGAACAAAAATGCAAAAAACAAAACAATAAGAAGCTTCACAATAGTTGGAAATATTTATCTCCAACTTACTCAATTTCTTATTCATTTGAATAAGAGGGTCCTTATTTGCAGATGACTTATTGCATATACAGAATTTCAAAGTAATCTACTTAAATTACTTGAATAGAGACATTTTTTATATAACCTAATATATGAAAATTAATTTTGTTTCTATATAGAAATAATTGACAGTGAAATTAAAATAATAACACTTATAATCAAAATGATCAAATACTTAAGAATAACAGTACCAAAAGTTGTATAAGGCTTCCATAACAAACATAAAATGATGATAATTAAAGAAATTAAAGTATACCTATGGAAACTGAGGTAAAACCACATTTGTGGATTGTAAGACTCAATATTATTAACATGTCACTTATCTCCCAATTGATCTATACATTCAATACCATTTCAATCAAAGTCCCACAGTTGTTCTTTTGGAAATTGGTAAGCCAATTCAAAATTTATATGTAAATGAAAAGGACTAAGAATACCAAAGACAATACTAAAAATTTTAAAAATTTAAAAAGTAAATTATTGGATTTAAACATTTATTATAAAACCAAACTGTTAAGATAATCTTGAGATAGACAAATAAACCTATTGAAAAGATTGGAGGCCAGAAACAGACTGCTAAACTTAATTTATATGAGGTTGACATTATTCTACAATAAGAAGTCCTAAGCTATCATAGTAGTGTTGGGACTAAGATATTCATGTTAAAAATAATTATCTTGTAGCATGATAATATATAAGCTGCATAAGAATATGTACCATCATAATTAAAACCATTTGTTTGTAGATCTAAATTTGGTGGTAAACTCAAGCTTGATAGATCTAAACTTGAAAGGTAAATCAGTAATGCTTCTAGAAGTTAGTTAGAGTCTATCAAAAGATCTTCTATTCATTAAAAAAGACATCTCTCAAGGAATGAACAAGGAAACCACAGAACTGGTTATGTGCTATAGTCAATAAAAGACTTACGTTTGAACATATAAGAATATTATACAAATCAATCAAAAAAAATCCCCCTAAAACAAAATAGGCACTTACCAGAGAAGATATTTAAATGACCATAAATGTGTGAAAGAGTGCCAACTTCCTCAGGGAGATGCAAATTTGACTAAATGATGATAGCATAACATGCTCACCAAAGTGGCTAAAATCAAAGTGAATGACAATACATAGTGTTGCAAGGACATGAAAAACTGAAACTCTCCTATAGTATTTCACTATGGCAATGGGAATGAATATACTATTTATATGTGCAACAAAATGAATGACCATCATAGACATGGCACTGGACAAAAGAATATAAAATAATAAAAAATAATAAAAAGTCCTACAAGCCAAATGATTCCATCTATAGAAAGTTTAAGAACATGAAAACTTACAACATAGATGACCGGCCCTTTGAAAGAGAAATGCAATGGTCATCATTACAATGCTGAGTTTTTCTTTCAAGGTTCAAGTATACTACATCTTACCATACTCGTTGTCATGGCTAATTAGCTTGTATGTTTCACCATAAACGATAAATCTCTGTAAGTGAAAATAAAAGGTTTATGGGGTTTGTTTGCTTAAAAAATATAACCTCTACCTGGAAGCTCATAATGCCTATTGTTTGCTAAAATATTTATAAGCATTTGTTGTATTAAGAATGTAAAGAATAGGCTGGGGATATAGCTCAGTGATAGGGAGCTTACCTATCATTCACCTGACTCTTGGTTTGATCCACAGAACTACAAAATAAAGGAAAAAAAATTTGCAAAATAAAGACAAAATATTTCTCGAAATGTGGCTGCCTTTTCTATTTCTTATTCCTGTAAGTATCACTTTCTCTTAGTATCAATTTCTGCCATTGGCTACTAAGATTTCCTTCTCCTTCAGAGATATGCCATAAAAATTAATATGCATGTATTGAAATTTTTAAAAAATGAAGATATGTGGTATTTTGGCTAACCTGGATTAATTTCATTTTTAATCTGCGCTTTCAAATTTATTTTCTCATTTTGACCATGGCCCTTCTAAGTTTTTCACTGACTCAGATTAATCTCAACTTTCTAAGCTGAACTTAATGTTGTCAGTTCATGGATAAGGTAGCTTTCTGGATGTCAATATTTTAAGAATAAGAAATCAGAATGATTTAGTATAGGTAAATTCAATCTCATAGCAAAATTAATGTTTTTTACTTAAG